GTTTGAGACGTTCTGGATCGGAGCATTTGAGACGTTCTGGATCGGAACGTTTGACGAGACGTTCTGGATCGGAACGTTGAGATCTTGGCAGAAGGTGTGATTTGGATGTTCTTGTATTCCTCAGAGAATGGATCTGGGAGAATGCGCTAAGGTTCATGACTTGGCTCTGCGGGCGGATTACGAGATCGCCTCCAAGGAGAACGAATACTTCTTTGAGCTCGATGTAAGTCGTCTAACTTTACGCTCAGCTGCTCCTTCTTCTTTTATTTCTCTACAAATGTTTGCTTTATGTATTTATGATCTTTGAACTAATATTTTGATCTGTAGGTTTAAAGCAGAAAAAATAAATGATTTGTTTTCCTTCATCAGAAGTTGTTCAGGAAACGGCTGCTTTAAGGTCTTTAAGCTCATGGAAAAGCCTGGAAAATGAACCTAATCAGGACTAAAGTTATTATATTTCTGTTTGGGATGCAGTTTGGGAATAAAAGGAATAAACATTGAAACTAATAGAAATAGTTTCCTCTGCTAATGAGGCCATGTTTTCATCGCCAGTCATTTTTTTAATAAAATGTGAAATATAATCCACTGAGAAATTGACAGCCCGATCAAATCTGCCTGTTTGGGGAAGAAATGTTTGAGTTTATAAGCTCAAAGTTGTTTTCTACTTGGTTTCCTTCTGCTGCCCCCATCAGGTCGTCTGCAGAATGACTGCTGTGGGAAATGTGTGGAAACTCTGGCCTTTACTCTGTCGTTAAAAAAACTAAATCCAAATAATCCAGCCGTATGTTAAAGCGTTCTCCGTTCTCTCCAGGCCGCAGAGCACCTGCAGTCTTTCATCGCAGACTGCGATCGCAGAACAGAGTTGGCCAAAAAGAGACTGGCTGAGACTCAGGATGAGATCAGCGCTGAGGTGGCGGCTAAGGTGAAGGACGCTCTGCAAGAACAGCCACACATGCAGATAACCCTGATTTACTGTTTCTCTTCCTTCCTGCGTCTGTTTGTCTCCTTCCACGGAAAGGCTGAGCGAGTCCATGAGTTAAATGAAGAGATCGGGAAACTGCTGGCAAAGGCCGAGCAGCTGGGCGGCGAAGGGAACGTGGAAGAAGCCCAGCAGGTGTTGGAGAAGGTGGAGAAAACCCGGGCCTTAAAGAAAGAGGCAGAGGTCAGTTTAAGGTCAGGAGCTCAGATTAATGTTATGACCTGATCTGACAACTTTAACGTTTCTATTAAACTGTGAATAAAGGACGTTTACCGGAACTCCATGCCAGCCTCCAGCTTCCAGCAGCAGAAGCTCCGGGTGTGTGAGGTGTGTTCAGCCTACCTGGGGCTCCACGATAACGACCGGCGCCTGGCCGACCACTTCGGGGGGAAACTTCACCTCGGCTTCATTGAAATCCGGGAGAAGCTTGACAAGCTGAGGGTAAACTGGGAAACTCCCACTGTGTCCCGCTTTAGGCCACAGACCTGCTCACTTCCCAACGCTCTCCTTCCAGAAAGCTGTGGTAGAAAAACAAGAACAGATCCGCCTTAGAAGACGAGAGGACCGGGAAAGAGAGGACGAACGAGAGAGACAGTGGGAGATGGAGAAGGAGAAGGAGAAACGGGAATGGGAGAGCAAACGGGAGAGAGAGCGGAGAAGGTTGAAACTTCACAATCAAACAGTTTGGATTTATTGAGCTGTTTATATGATGCCTGTTTTTTTCTCAGGTCCAGATCCAGGAGCGGAGAACGCCACAGGTACCGCCGCTGTCCTTATCAGGTGTGACGTTCTGTCTGAGAACAGAGGAAACATCATCTGCTCTGTTTCTGGTTGAAGCAGGGATGGAGGCAGTTCATCGTCGCATCGCTCCAGACGGCGCCGCTCCTCTCGTCCCAGAGAAGACGGATCTGAGCGGGACAGGGAGCGAGACAGGAAGCACCGCCACAGGGACAGACGCCGCTCACGCTCCCACTCCCACAGACACAAGAAGAAGAGGTGCTCACAGTATTTTATTTATCTCTTTAAACCAGATGTTTAAAGGGTTTCCTGCGATGGCCGATCATTAGAAAGCAGTAATAAAATGATTGTACTTTCCTCCATTCAGACTGCCTCCATGTTTAAACATGTTGGTGGCAGCGTCATGCTGTGGGGTTCCTTATTGCAGCGGGGCGGGCACAGAAAGGGAATAAAAAATGAAATGTTGACGTTAGGAGGGCGTCTATCAGAGGAAGATCCATCATGTTGTTGCTGTGAAACAGGAAGTGATTTCGTATGAAGGCCTCTCTGGACTGAAGGTCCCGCTGCAGAAGCCCCCCCCCAACCCCCCATGGCCGCTGGCTCGCCGCCTATCGAGCTGAGGAAAAGTCTCAGGTAGACGCCGTTGGCTTTGAATAGGTGCAGCGGCCATGTTTTAAACCCTGCGGCGTTCAGACGGCCATCAGCTCCCAGTCAGGTCAACATGGAAACAACTCTTCATCATGTTTAGCCTCTTTTCACACCGTTTACACAATGTTAGAAATTAATTTTATAGAGTTTAAACCCGTTTGTCTTTATTCTCCTATAAAATAGAAATCAGGTAATGATGCCATCTGATCTGTAATGCCCCCCCATGGAGGTCTGACATCAAAGCTCTGTCACGTTAACGCCTCTGGTCAAAGTTACGTCCCTATTAGCTGCTAATATGTCCTGAACTGACCCCTCCAAACCTCTAGGGGGAGCCCTAGAGGAGAAGCAGAGCTAGCTGGCTCTCAGAGGAGAATGCTAGCTGCCATTAGCTTGTTAGCTCACAGCAGGAGGAGGTGTCACTTCCTGATCAGTCTCAGAAGCACGATCCATCCCGCGAAATCTGTGCATCTAGATCTACATTTGGGTCGCCCTTGATTTTAATTTGATAAAATGACCTAAATGACGTTTTTCCTCCCTAAATTTAGTCAAATATAAGATGTTAAAGGTGAATCATGTATTTCCTGAGAAATAAAATGCATTAAAATCTTTTCTATGTTATCAATCATCTGTACATAAATTTAGTCTTTTATGTTAACGCTTTATATTTCGTAATCTAAAGAAACAACTAAAATCCGATTAACTGCTCTGAGCGTCTCCCATGATGACGTCATAATACATGTTTTAAAGATGCGTATTAGCATATTAGCATCTTTTAGTGAGTTAATGATGGAAATGAGTGATTTTAGTACCATGATTACATCATTTATGGACACCTGGACGTATATCTGTCCACTCATGATGAGGGCGGATTGTCCTCCCGGGCGGATCGGGGGTCACGAGAACTTTTAACGACGGATCTTTAGTTCTTGCTCTGCAGGAGTTCAACCGTCACTTTGATGGTTCCTCAACTTTAATGCAGGAAATAAAAACCATGACGGGATTTCAGGATGTAGCTACTGCTAGCATCTGCTGATGCTAAATGAAAATTCACCCCTTCGTCTTTGATTTCCAACTTTGCGCCCCCTGGTGGTTCAGAAAGATCCAGAGAAAAGCCTCATGTTTCAAAGCGTGGAACATCGGTTCATCCCCAGAATCAGATGATGAGTGGAAAGCTGGTTGCCCTGCAGACGCAGCAGACATGCTAACCCAGGGGTGGGCAATTCCAGTTCCTGGGGGCCGGTATCCTGCAACTTTTAGATCCATCCTTGGTCCAACACACCTGAATCAAATGGCTGAGTTACCTCCTCAGTATGCAGTCGGTTCCTGCAGAGTCCTCCCAATTATCTGAGTACTTTATTCAGGTGCGTTGAACCCAAGGCATATCTAAAAGTTGCAGGATACCGGCCCCCAGGAACTGGAATTGCCCACCCCTGTGCTAACCTCTCTGGTGGAGCTAAAGAGAATTGACCCTTTCCAGCCACCGTCCTTCCAGTCTGACTGAGCTTTAGCTGTTTGACAACAATGACTTCAAGAAGCACTTATAAACACAGTTATTCATGTTTTCTTATTATTATTCAGTTATTTTCTCAGGTTTTACTGAAACCTGTCTTTAAAATTAGCTTTTAATTTGAGCCTTAAAGACTAAAACCTGGTTTGAGGTTCATCTATCGGTGGACTTTGGCTCAGACTCTGATTGGTGACGTGATGAACGTTCCCTCAGCAAACAGTCGGAGCCTCATGTTCACCTGGAAAACATTAAACTGCAGTTCTGTGTTTTGGCCAGAAGTGGCAGCATCATTAGGAAAGTCCTTCTTTAAAAGCTTTGATCCTTCGTATAAAAGTAGATATAAACCGTTGAAGGACTTTCTCTAAAAAACTGTTTTTCTTCCTCAGGTCTTCCAGAGACAGATCGTCCCATCCAGGCGACAGAGAGACGTCTCCGTCCCAGGAGAGATGGCGGGAGCGTGCAGGGGAGGGATGGCGCAGCGACAGGGTGGAGGCTGCAGCAGACTGGGAGGACAGGGAGCGCTCCGCTTCCCCAGACGTCTCCAGAGGACGGGAGAGATCCCTTTCCTACGAGCGAGACCGCCGCTCCAGCTCAGAGGAGCGAGAGTCTGGAGAAATCTGAACACTTTCCTTTTTAGATGCGCATGCAGCTGGCAGTGCATCAGATGCCGCTATGCATGTTCAGAGTGGACGGAGTGGACGGCGTGGGACGTGTTCAGAGTGGACGGCGTGGACGGCGTGGGACGTGTTCAGAGTGGACGGAGTGGGACGTGGACGGAGTGGGACGTGTACAGTCACTGACCTCCCAGCAGTTGCTCACAGGGGGACAATGTTTTCATTTTCTGCTTTGTTTACGGACTCTGGATGTTTTCTAGTTTTTCTTTCCTCTCATTGATTCTACAGGTGAGCTGCGGACGGCGGCCATGTTTGTCCAGCTCTGTTTTAATTTGCTGCCTTCTAACCGATGGTGTCCTGGTTTAGACCCTGAAGCGACGCCCCGACATTCCCTGCGTCTCTAAAGAGCTCATCCTAATATTTTCCATCAGTCCCCAGATTGACGCTCGGTGCATCTTTTCACTCTAACTCTGATGCTGTGATGTAGGACAGACTTTTAAGGAGGGGGGGGGGGTCCACATTGCCAGAACTCCACCAGTTAATAAAATGTTCTGATTTGGTTCAAATATTCCTGCTTTTGTTTTTCTTTCATTCGTTTGCTGAACTGACGGCTCGGGGGGAGGGGGAGTGCCAGGGTGACGGTGGCCTTGCTGATCAGGCTGGTAGCGGATGGGAAGAAACGGGTTTTGGTCCTGATGGAGCGCAGAGGGAAGGGACTGGGATCAGCCACCATCTTCCTGCAGGCCTCAGAGTCCTGGAGGCGTACAGATCCTGGAGAGATGGAACTGGACTGGATCCCTCCAGGGACCCGGTCTACCTGGACTGGATCCCTCCAGGGACCCGGTCTACCTGGACTGGATCCCTCCAGGGACGCGGTC